CCGCAACAGAATATGGTAGAATCACTGAGGATGCTGCTTTACAACTGTACGTGGAACAGGAAAACTGCACTGTGCAGAAGTGCGGCTTATTCGTTAATATGAGGGACGGATTTCTAGCAGCATTCCCAGATTGCTTACTTGGAACAAATTGCCTCGATGACGTAAAGTGTTCCCGTTCCAGAAGATTCTTGAAGCATAGTTAAACCGCAAAGGAGTATGAGGCGAAAAATAAGAAAAAGGAGCCTGGTGTGAAGGGTCCAGATCACCACAATAGCTTCTACTATCAAATACAAGGGCAGTTACACAATAAACAAAGAGAGTTTTGTGATTTAGTTATATTTACACTCAAGGGCATTGATATCCAACTTATTCAGAGAGATGATACCTTCTGGTCAACCAATATAGAGCCTTTTCTACTCAAGTTTTAAATGGAAGGCCCGACTTCCACTGAAATTCCACACGTAGACGAGTTGTCCGACCAAATAAACTGCCATTACTCCCGACCTGGGAATCTCTTGATCTTCGTTCGTAGGCCATAGTAGCATGGGATCGAGGGGTGTGGCTCTTCGCCCGCCGAATATTGCTTCGGCGACTGTTTTTACCGTGTAATATGAGACCGTCGGGCGTGCTGCTGGAACAAGAACCTGGCGATTCTTCACTGAACTGCTTCTTTTGTAAGCTTCAAAAGGGCTTTTTCTTCGTTTCGCACACCCTCTGTTCTGCTTGCCCGTTAGTTGCAGGATGGTATGGTGCAATAATGTGATGGCTGATGCCGGTTTTTTTTTTTTCAAAAACTTGTTTATTTTATTTGAAGCAAGATTTGGCGCGTTACAGAGAAAAGTATTTTCGGTAGGGCAAAAGTAGGTAAAAGAGACCGTAGAACGTCAACGACGTGTTTGGACGTCGTGGCAGGCATCGTGTAAACTTCCAGCCACTTAGAGTACGCATCGCCCATGATTCCGCAGTTGCGGATACGTTTCGCCACCCACCGACTGAATAGTGGATCGTTTTCAATTACTGTGCGTGGGACTCAAGGAAGACTTCGAGTCTTTCCAGAAAATTTCTGGGAACCCCCCCCCCCCCCCCCCCCCTATGATGTAACAACCTTTACAACATCTTCCGGACCCCGTGAAACACAATATTTCGTGACGTTATTTTAGTCGTCATTAAAATGGTGAGGTAAGTACCCTAAATCGCGAAGCAGTTTACTTGACGTCCGCTTCCACTGGTACCTTGGAAGATTGAGTCTACTGAGCGTGCATTCCTGCAGAGGAAATTTTCATTGATAGAATATTGACAAGTCAATCAACATCTGATTCCTTCTTGATAAGATTTACTGCGAAAACCCGTGACAAACGCCGAACCGCATCGCTACTTGAGCTAGCTGAGCACAGCTGGCAGTGGCGCAAGCAAGGCCATGGGGCGAACGTGATGGTGCTCGAGCCATCCCACCGTGAACCAATGTTTCGGCCACCCCACGGGTACGTGCCGCCATCTATTGGTTGAAATAACGCCTTGTTCAAGATGGCTGCCGTGGGACCGTAGCCTTAAGGGTAGTGCTCTACACGTAGTGGAAAAGCTCTACGCTTCCACTACGCCGACCACGTCCACGATCACATTTGACACCATGCTTTTCAGTAAACATCAGAAACCACGACCGGCATTCAACGCGCGTGACCGAACTCTCCTCGGCCTATGATTGGTCAGCCGGTTTGGTCGCTGAGTTCGTTCCCAAATGTAGCAAAAAAAGTCCAGCCCGGCCCAACTTCTTGCGTCGCGAAGGGAATTGACCGAAACGGCCATTTGGCGCCTCGTTGCCACGGCAACGCTTCGTTCCCACCGGTTGCATTCGTTCGTAAGCGTAGCGGTAGCTCTGGACACAAGTATGTGAACTGGCTTTAGGAGTTGAGGGAAGGCTCCCTCCCACCACTTTCCATTTCATACTGCCCGGACATGGACGGCTTGAATAAAGTTCTTTTTTCTCTCTCTCTCCAATTCAGCAGAGCGAACGCTGGTGAGGAGGCGACCTCAACTCGAGCGTTTACTCTTCTAAAAACGAATACAAGAAGATGAGTAGCACACAAGCAACTCATCTTGTCGTCCTTTTTTTACGTGTGTTTTTCTTATTAGTCAGAACCAACTAGTCTGAACGTATATGCGAACGAAAACCAAGCACAAAAGAAGATGTAGCCAGTCGAATAGCAGTAGTTTGTACCCCTTCGCACCCCTCAAAAATTGACTTCATATACTTTGCATCGTCAAATGTACTACGCAGCCATACCACGTGCGACCATAAGAAACCTTATTTGGACCTACGTTCCTCGAGTGCGTTGATATCCTGGCTCAAGCACAGCGTCACAATAACGAGCCAGACGTCCAACGCGTGACTTAGCGGTCCTACCTCTCTGGTTTTGCATTTTATTTATACAAACGCCATCGTTAGACAAACACAGACGGTCTACACTCAGTGGCCCCCACAAACATAATTACACGACAGTTTGGGTCGACGACGACGTTAACAAAAGCGCGAAAATAAGCTCTGTTTAGCCTCTGCAGGTAGCATGCAAACGCCAACCGCTGCATCATACGGAGTCGCCGTTAATTATGCTCGGTCACACGGTTTGCGCCGCCTTTCACTCACGAGTCACTTATCTCGCTTCTCCCTCGAACTCGCGTCGTCTGATGGTCAGCTTCGTCTGCTTTACAATCCCGCAGCCAACGCCAGGGCGGCGACACGGGCGCCGACCGGAAGTGCTCGTCGGTTCGTCACGTGGACGGCTACGCGGGGAAGGGAAGTTCACATCCGGTCGGCGCTTATTGGTGCTTTCTGCCCTTTCTTTAGAGGGAGAGGAGAATGCGTCTCTTTAGCTTCGGTTCCCTGTTTTCGCTGGCCGTGAGCCGAGCTACGGGTTGGACGCAATAATTTGCATTTCGTTTTATTTTTCCTGGGTGAATATTTTTTATTTGTTATCAGTTAGCACATTTTTTCAATTATTGCAAAGACTATTGTTAATTGGCAGCAGTGTTCAATGGAGTGGGTTCATTCAAAAACGTGGTTGTAAGGCGGCTTTGGAAACAAATATAAAATGATTAGTACTTACTTACTTAGTGCTATTATAATTGTTAATAACGGTGCTACTTTTATTAATATTAACGTTATTACTTTTAGAGCGCAGCTCTTAGGCCCCCGTTTCCGGCTTGAGCGGCGTCGCCGTCGCCGTTGGCGTCGCCGTCGGCGTCGCCGTCGGCGTCGCCGTCGGCGTAACCGCGCGGTGCATTATGGGTAAATTTCCCCGCTAAATCTAGCGGAAAAATTTCCCTGCTAAATCTAGCGGAAAAATTTCCCCGCTAAATCTAGCGGAAAAAAATTTCCCCGCTAAATCTAGCGGAAAAATTTCCCCGCTAAATCTAGCGGAAAATTTCCCCGCTAAATCTAGCGGAAAATTTTCCCGTTAAATCTAGCGGAAAAAATTCCCCACTAAATTTAGCGGAAAAAATTTCCCCGCTAAATCTAGCGGAAAATTTCCCCGCTAAACCTAGCGGAAAAAATGTCCCCTCTAAATCTAGCGGAAAAATTTCTCCGCTAAATCTAGCGGAAAAAATTTAGCGGAAAAAATTTTCCCGTTAAATCTAGCGGAAAAAATTTCCCCGCTGTCTAGCGGAAAATTTTCCCGCTAAATCTAGCGGAAATATTTCCCCGCTAAATCTAGCGGAAAATTTCCCCGCTAAACTTAGCGGAAAAAATTTCCCCGCTAAGTCTAGCGGAAAAATTTCCCCGCTAAATCTAGCGGAAAATTTCCCCGCTAAATCTAGCGGAAAAAATTTCCCCGCTAAATCTAGCGGAAAAATTTCCCCGCTAGATCTAGCGGAAAATTTCCCCGCTAAATCTAGCGAAAAAATTTCCCCGCTAAATCTAGTGGAAAATTTCCCCACTAAATCTAGCGGAAAAATTTCCCCGCCAAATCTAGCGAAAAAAATTTCCCCGCTAAATCTAGCGGAAAAAACTTCTCCGCTAAATCTAGCGGAAAAAATTTCCCCGCTAAATCTAGCGGAAAATTTTCCCCGCTAAATCTAGCAGAAAAATTTTGGTCACGTGACCTGGGGAGTCACGTGACACCCCGAGGTCACGTGACCCCCTCCCGAGGTCACGTGACCTCTGAGGGGGGCACGTGTTTGCTTCCATGTGCCCCCACCAAGGTCACGTGCCCTCGGGGGGGGGGGGGGGGTCACGTGACCCCCCCCCCCCCCCCCGAGAACACGTGGCCCCCAGTACCCTTCCCTCCGCCTCCTCAAGAGCTGCGCTCCAATTCGGCGTTACAGGGAGTGGTAAACGGCTTTCACTTTTTGTTATTAGTAATAGTTATATTTTTTTAATTATTATTTACATTATCAAAGTAGTTTGCGCTGCACGTAATCACAAATGACACACTTTCTGAGAACGGTAACCGAGTAATAGTAGGTTAACGGAGAGCTCTAACTTCTCTCACTATTCGAGGACGACTGACTGAGGTGGCGAAGTCTAAGATACTGGAGCTCGTCCGAATCATTTATATATGTTTAATTTACACGAGCCCGTGATCTAAGCAGTCTCATTATACGCATCCGGTGCATCGTCACATAAAACTTTCCTGGAATACAAACGACTTCTCGTCAGTGTTTTTGCATGGAATTATTCGTGTAGGTTGAATGTAACGGGTATAACTGTCAAGGAAGCCAAGCCAAGCAAAAGACACTGGACTGTCGAGAAAGCCAAGCCGAGCTAAAGCCACAGACGCAGAGATCCAGCCATGGCGTAGCCAGTGTAGCATCATGTAATCCGCTCGCTAATCGAATCAATAAACATCGTTTTCTGACATGGTGACAGAAGCGGGATCTACCAAGAAGAAGAAAGAAGAACCTCAGCAGAAACGATACAGCCACTGATTCGAGCGACGGAGCGGAGAAGACGCCGTTAAAACAAGACAAACAAGCAAACGCACGTGAGCGCCGATTCCGAAACTATGGAAGGTAGTCTAAAGACGCCGAGGCCTCTTGATCTGTCGTCGCAGTCGCCAGACGTTTGGGACGACTGGCTTCAGAGCTACGAATGGTACGCAACAGCGATCCAGTTACAGAAGAAACCTCCCGAAGTTCAAGTAGCGAACTTCATGACTGTCATCGGCCCAGACGCACAGAACGTGTTCCGAACGCTCCCACTGAGCGAAGACGACAAGAAAAACCTGGACATCGTAAAGCAACGGTTCAAAGAGCACTCCCACCCGAAGGTCAACCCCACCTACGAACGGTACAGGTTCAATCAAATGAAGCAGAAAGAGGGCGAGACTTTCAACGAGTTTCTGACGGCCGCAAGACTACAAGCAAAGAAATGCAAGTTCGGTGAGCTGACTGATGAACTACTACGCGATCGCATTATCGTTGGCATCACCAACGACGATGTCAGAGAAAGACTGCTAAGCGACCCGACTGTCGACCTGCACAAAGCCGTGAATCTCTGCAAAGCGAGCGAACAGGCGTCACAGCAGCTCAAAGAAATCGCAAACAAAGAAACGAGGACCGTCGACGCCGTCACGAAGAAGACAAAGCAGCTACCGAGAAAGAAGACTGTCGCGGAGACGAAAGAGCAAGCGCCGGAGAATTCGGGAATGGCAAGAAAAGCATGCAGCTTCTGTGGAGGATTTCACAGACCAAAAGAATGTCCAGCGTATGGCAAGACGTGTAACAAGTGCCAAAAGAAAGGACACTTTGCTGCAGTGTGCCGGTCAAGCAGAAGTATGGTGCAACACAAGGTCCATGCCATCGACAACCACGAAGACCCTGAAGAAATGTATATGTCGGAGCTGAGAACCAAGACAAGCAAAACGGTGTGGCAAGAAGAAATCCAGTTCAAGTGTGGAACTAAAGTTGTCATGAAACTGGACACAGGAGCGCAATGCAACGTCCTCCCAAGCAAGAACGCCCAAGCCATGAGACTACAAGTGTTTCCTTCGCCAGTCAAAAGAATCGCAACATACAGCAATCACAGGATGCAAGTGATCGGTGACGTGAGAGAAGCATGCACTGTCCGTGATCAGCCAGCGAAACTGAGATTCCTCGTCGTGAACTCTGACGTGACACCAGTTCTGGGTCAGAACGCATGCGAGCTCCTCAACCTCGTGAAGAGAGTGCACACAGTCCAAGCAACACAAGAAGATGACGAAATATTTCAAGGCATCGGTTGCATCAAGAACTTTGTCTATGATGCCGATGTCAAAGACGAAGCAAGCAAGAAGCTGGAAAACAAGCCACCAAGAAGGGTTCCATATGCACTTATGGATGAAGTCAAGCAAAAGCTCACGAGCATGGAACAGAAAGGAATCGTCGAAAAAATCACAGAACCAACTCCATTCTGCAGTGAAATGGTTGTTGTGAAGCAGCGAGGAAAGATCAGGATCTGCATCGATCCAGTGGAACTGAACACAGTTCTCATAAGACGAAACTATCCTCACAAGACTTTGGAAGAAATTGTTGCGCATGTCAGAGGATCCAAGCGGTTCACTCTGCTAGACCTCAAGAAAGGATTTTGGCAAATGCAAGTGTCAGAGCGCACCAAAAAGTATCTAGCCTTCAGCACTCCGTGGGGCAGGTACTGCTTTAGGAGAGTTTCATTTGGCGTAGCCACAGCACCAGAAGTTTTTCAACAAGTCATCAGCAGAATCCTGGAAGGGATTCCGAACGCCGTCGACTCCATGGACGACATCCTGGTGTATGCCGAAACAAGCGAACAGCTGCAAGAGACTACAAAGAAGGTCATGGATGCTCTGAAAGAAGCTGGCACTAAACTCAACAAAGACAAGTGTGTCTTTGACAAGCCTGAAGTCAAGTTTCTTGGTCACGAAATCACTGCAGAAGGACTCAAGATCGACCAAGAAAAGGTAGCCGCCATCGACCAGTTAAATGAACCAAAGAACAAGACCGAGCTACAGAGACTGCTAGGGATGATCCAGTATCTCCAGAAGTTCGTGCCCAACCTTGCGGACAAGACTGCACCACTGAGAAAGCTCATCACCAAGGACACTGAGTTCCTGTGGACAGAGGAACAGAGCAAGGCACTGACCGAAATCAAGCAAGCGCTGAAGAGTGCACCAACACTCGCATACTACAACGTTAATGGTGCTATGACCCTTTCAGAGGACGCAAGCTCAAAAGCCCTAGGAGCTGTTCTCCTACAAGAAGGAAAGCCTGTTGCCTACGCCTCAGCAGCAATGACGGAAGCACAACAAAACTACCCTCAGATCGAGAAGGAGGCACTAGCGATCCGATACGGCTGCCGGAAATTTCACCAATATATCTATGGAAGACCTCTAACCATCGAGACTGACCACAAACCGATCGAGAGCATCGCAAAGAAGCCGTTGAGCAAAGCCCCTCCTCGACTACAAAGACTTCTCTTTGACGTACAGCAGTACGCACCAACAATCGTCTACAAGAAAGGAACAGAACTCGTGATCGCAGATCTACTGAGCAGAGACTGCATCAAGAACGAGTCGGCAGGTGCATATACAGATGACATACAAGTGATGGCAATTGTACCCATGTCACCTGAAACAATGGAAGAACTAAAGAGGGACATTTCCCAAGACAAAGAAATCCAAGAAGTGATCCAAGCCACGAAAGAAGGATGGCCAAACACCACAAGAGGGCTCAGTGACCCAATGAAGCTGTATTGGTCATTTAGGGATGAACCCGCTGTGTATGAAGACATGTTGTTCAGAAGCGATCGGATAGTCATTCCGAAGACTTGGAGAAACAGACTGCTCGTCCAGATCCACGCGGGACATCTAGGCATAAACAGTTGTCTAAAGAGAGCCCGCGAGACTGTGTACTGGCCGGGGCTGACGACAGACATCAAATGCTACGTGGAAAGATGTGCCACATGCCAAGCAACAAACCAAAAACCAGCGAGAGAGCCACTTCATCTCAAAGAAATACCAGACCCCCCGTGGGAAAGAGTAGCATCAGATCTCTTGAACTTCGAAGGAAAATCCTACGTTGTCATTGTCGACAGCTACTCTGGATACCTAGACATCAAGAAGCTCTCAGGAGAATCGTCAAAAGAAGTTGTAAACGTCATGAAAGTGTGGCTAGCAACTCATGGCGTCCCCAAAGAGATTGAAACAGACAACGGTCCCTGCTACGCAGCACAAGAATTCAAGAACTTTAGCAGAGACTGGGGCTTCCAACACGTGACTTCAAGTCCGAGGTATGCGCAGTCAAACGGTCTTGCTGAACGAGCCGTTCAGACTGCAAAAGGGATTCTCCGAAAATGCTCTCTGGATAAAAGCGACATACAAATGGCCCTCCTCAGTTTCAGAAACACGCCAAGGAGTGAAGAACTGGGTTCACCTGCACAAAGACTGTACAGCAGGAGGACAAGAACTCTAGTTCCCACACACAACAAGCTACTAAAGCCCGAAATAATCCAAAGCGTGCCGGACAAGCTGCGTCACGAGCGCAACCAGCAGAAGGCTTACGCTGACCAGCACTCCAAACGAGCCCCTGCCATGGCCCCAGGCGATAAAGTCAAAGTTTGGGAAGAAAACAGGAGATGGGTTCCTGGAACAGTCGTACGTCTTTCGGAAGAACCTCGGTCTGTGATAGTACAGACACCAAAGGGACAGTACCGTCGTAATACGTCCTTTGTTCGTCCGACTAAGGCTGAGCTACACCACGCTGCAAAAACTCATACTACCAGCATCGAGCCATATGCGCCACAGCCTGTGACCGACAGCCGAGTGTGCCCCAGCCCCCAGCGAGAGAACCCGGCAGACTCAACCACCGTTACCAAATCAGGTCGCATAATCAAACCAGTCGTCAGGCTTGATCTCTAAAGAAAAAAAGGGGGATGTCAAGGAAGCCAAGCCAAGCAAAAGACACTGGACTGTAGAGAAAGCCAAGACGAGCTAAAGCCACAGACGCAGAGATCCAGCCATGGCGTAGCCAGTGTAGCATCATGTAATCCGCTCGCTAATCGAATCAATAAACATCGTTTTCTGACAATAACGACCAGATTAGCATGCTAGATCGCGGAGGCAACGACTTCAACTTAGTTTTGCTTCCTCTTTCAGGCTTATTATTTTAATAAAAAAACGACCATCCAGATAAAGGTTGCTGTCAAATCTATTTCGCCATTCGTCGTTCTTCAAAAGCGTTACAGCCTAAGCCTGTTTCTCTCGGGCGCGGGCGCGACCGTAAAACTAAGGGGCTTAACGTAAGACGGGACCATGTAATGCTTGCATTGAGCATAAATTGGCACTGCAGCGTTCGAGCATGCACGAGCCACGTTTGTTAACAAGCGTGTATGTCAGTATTTGTCTATGCGCGGTAATAGTGCGTCTAAAAATGTACAAAAGGAACTAAAAAAAAAACGCAGCCCGCGTTTTCAGTGTTTTATCAAAACAATAAGAATGTCATTCCTTAAGCTTTCGTGTTCCTTTTTTTTTCGCAGCTTTACATTTACAAGTGACATTCTGTCAGCTTAGCGTCCACGAGCAACGTTAAAAACGTGCAATGACTCACAACCGATACACGACCGAAATATATTTGATTCTGCTCACCAGAGGCGTTACCCAAAATTGAAAGCTACAGGCTCATTGCTGATAAAATCTTAAAACGGGCAAAATTATTTCTATTCTCTAGTAAAATTATAAGAAACTTTTTTTTTTTACGTAAATTGACATTGTAAACGTATGTGCTGCAGGAAGAGCGTAGGAAAAGCGGAGGCCCCCGCCGCTCTTCCTACGTTGACATCCGCTAAACTTGACGCAAGGCGGACGTTGGACCCCCCTTGCCTGGAACAGTGTGTGAATGGGGCTCAGTCTAACACACCTCGAAACAATTTTACTTTTATGGACCGCTAGGCGCCGGCCACACTCATTGTGACTGTGATCATCAACGATCACAGTCATCAACTAACAGAAGAGGTCGCGCTCTACTGCAAATGCCATTTCCAGGAAGAGCATAAAACGATCAAACCAAACGACGCGCACTACCTTGTACAAAATGATGTCCCTTTGGATAACAGAAACCTGGACGCCCCGGTAATTGTTAGTGGCGCGCATAAGGGGTATTCACACGAGGGAGAAATCCCGGGGATTTCTCCCCGGCACGCGCATTCCACGACAAAAACGCCAGGCTTTGCGATGTGCAAAAGCCTCGCGTTTTCATCTCGTGATGCGCGCGTGCCGGGGAGAAATCCCCGGGATTTCTCCCTCGTGTGAATACCCCTTAAGCCTCTCCCAGTCACGCTCGTCATTTCCGTTGCGACCCCGGCACTGTTGAGATTTCTCTAAGCCGGGGCGACACTGCTTATACATTACACAAAAGACGGTCTGCATCAATCCACAGCCCTGCCCGTTTCGATCTGAACAAGCATCGTACCGGCGTTCGATCGTGTATCACTACAGCGTGGTGCTAGTTAAAAACCCTAGGCTGGCGGTTGTACTGCACTGGCTACATTGCTCATCTACAGCTGAGAAACCAATTATTTTGACCACTGATCTCTATGTCTATTTGCTGGATCGCCTTTGACCAGCTCCTCCTATGGACCGGAATGCGGTCACTGGCGGCCATCTTTAGGTAGAGTTATATCATCTCTAGCCATCATAGTAATATGGCGGACAGCGCAATGGCGGCAGGCTGCCATAAAAATAGCCGTAGATCTAGTACACTGTACCGTGGGTGACATTTCGTGCTTGATTGAAGTTGTTCGACGAAGCAGATTCTTGAAACCCGGCGTGAACAGTAGCCTCATCTTTGAGGACCCGGAAAAAGTTCTACGAAAGCTCAGCACCGGCGGAAAGCACCGCAGCTCGCATCAAAAGCAGACTCCCTACCGTCGTCTGCTTTCGATGCTTCTTTCGATGCGACTTTCGATACGTGCTGTGCTGCTTTTCTCCCGGTGCTTCGATTTCGTGAAACTTTTATCAGGTCCTCAGAAACCGGACTACTGTTCACGCCGGGTTTCAAAAACATGTTTCGTCAAATAATTTTAATCAAGCACGCAATATCACCCACGCTATTTTGACCGCAGCCTGCCAACCCACCTGCCAAAACGCTATCTGCCATGGATGGATGATAGCGGCTGCAGCAGCTTACATTGGCTAGAGGTGATATAACTCTACCTAAAGATGGCCGCCATTGACCGCAATCGCGGAGCGGGCAAACGCGATCCAGCAATTGTCATAGAGATCAGTGATTTTGACAGTCTGGATACAGATTCGAACGCGAGTCACCGCGACATCCGTGCTTCGAATACCGCATGGAATGAGTTCAAAAGGAAAAATCGGCACGCGGAATTCTAACCCCGGATAATGCGGTCACTCGTGGTTGCAGACTGTTTTTTGTATGATGGTATGAGCAATGTAACCGCAGCTTGTCGTTTTCATGCGATGGTGACCGACCGAAGACAGCAGGCACCGCAAGATGGTCAAGAATCCTGAATGTTTTATGGCCAAGGAGCACCAGTGCTGCACACGTTCCTCACAAAAAGGAACGAAAATCCTTTACTCGTTCCTTCTGATTTTCGGAACGCATTCTTATTACTAGTTCCATATGTGAAAAAGGACCTCGCTCCCGTTACAGTTAAAAAATGGAACGTATCGTTACATATACGTTACATTTGTATTTTGCAGATTATCATATTTAGTTAGATCGAGAGGAACAATTTCTTATTTTTTATATATATCTTATTAAATGGGAACCTACAAATTTCAATGCTATGATGGAAGAGCACTAGGAGAAGAAAACAAGCGGAAGCAGGGTTTTATTTGTTCATAAATTCATCTTTAAAATGTTAGCTTTAAACCATATTCATCTTTGCGGTGGGCAATTCAGACGAGCAAAATGTACTGTTACTCCCCACTGCACGAGCGTTTTACAATCACCTCACACGTTTCAATCTAACGAATTCCCTTGTTTAAACTTATTGGTAGCTGCTTATCGATGTTGCTGTCTGCAAGACGAGCAAGTGAAGAAGAAGGTAGGGCTTTCGGAAGGTCAGTCTTGAAAACTACAAGTCCTTCTACATGAAGGTTGGATTCGTTGTTCAGTTTGAAGGTGGGGGACAAGGGGAAAAGGAATAAAGGTCAATTTGTGTGCATCTTTTAAGGGACCAATGTTCGGAACACAAGGGTGTGCTCGATATCTGGTAACCTGTTCTTTTGTTGTAACCGTAGGTCTCCTTGTGGAAGTTCAGTAATGGCTATAGTCGGCCTTAGATTTCTGGATGTATTAATGAACTCGTGGAAGCAAAGAAAGTAGCTGAGTTTTAAACGTCCCTCTTTCTGTTTCTTTTCCTTCGACTAAAAATTTTGCTTTCTGTACCGCAGTCTCGGGCACTGGAAAAATTATCGATGTCCACTAGCTCGCCTGCAGCTGACTGTTACCAAGCGAGGCCCACACAAAATAAACCCTAAGATAAGTAACCAAAAATTTAACGAGATCCTTCTCCTCGTAAAGTTATTGTTTTTATACTTTAAAAATTTTCCTTTCAGAAATAAAATAAAAAATTTTCCTTTCAGAAATAAAATAAAAAACTTCCCTACTGGATGAAAAAAAGGAACGGCGTTCTTTTCTCCGTTCCAGTGAAAATGCAACGAGTTCCCGTTCCAGCTCCACCGATTCAAAATAGAACGGGGCGTTCCTTCCTTCCTCCTAAAAGGAACGCGTCCCAGGAACGTCGTTTCTTAATTGGAGCGCTTACAATTCTAATGTCAAACTGAGGCGCACTTACAGTTCGAAAATAGAATGAAAAACAGCGGGCGGCGGGGTTCGAACATTCCAAAACGTTCTTGGGCCGTCAGGTGCAGTCGGTTCTCCACGTGATGGTCGCGGCGTCACACCGGCTTTCCTTGGAACAGCGGTGACTTCGACCGAGCGGGATATACCCTGCGAATTTTTTTTTTTTTTTTCTCAGACGGAAATTTAATTTGCCTTTGTAGTTGCCCACCTATACGCCCGCGACGGAAGATCCAAGGTAAGGACTTTAACAGCTTGCATTGGTTCGGAAAGAGAGTCACGCAGAGAGGTCAACCACCATTTAGATCTGGTTTCCTATTTCGCGAATATGATGAACGCGAGGTTAGGAAAGAGCCTTACGAAAAACCGTCATTTAACGGGCTACCGAGTTCACAAAAGCTAATAACTAAACACCCTCTGATGAACAATACAAAACAAAATCTTCGATTAGAGAGCAGCCGGGCCAGCAGAGCCATTGGCGTGGAGATCGATCAATTCGCTACTGGAGAAGAGATCGAGAGCCAAGTATGTCGAACTGACTTTGAAAGTGGTTAAGACGTACTCGCAAAACACTGGTCCAGTGTTGTTTTATCGGAAAGAATAACCAGGTAGAGGTCTTTGCCTTCTCGCGTCGAGATACATTCCTTTAGCATGGTGTGCATGACAGAAATAATTGTTTTACAGCAGCTCTAAAAAAAAAATTATTTAAGCAGCGTCGAACACAACTAAAGTATATAGTAATTTACGTATATCTTTTAAATAATTTTTTTTTGTATGTTGTCTTCTAGATGAGGGTGCGAGCAATACGTGCGCACATTGGGGCAGATGTGGGACCTATTTTGGGAGAGAATGTTTGTTGCGCTGTCGCAAGCAGAACCACGGGATGCGCGTATCGTAAAAAAATAAAACAGCACAAAGAACAAACAAAAATAAGGCAAGATAAGAAGGAAAGGTTTTACGCAGGAGCAGTCCGAAGACACTGGAAACATCCAGCAATTTTCGTGGACGCAGTGCGGCGTCTTAAATTGTTAACAAGGGCAAAGAAAAAAACCAAATTCGATTAAGGCGAAACAAAAAATATCGAATGTTCCTATCTTAAAGCAAAATTTCAAGGAAAAAATAACGTTGCGAATCGGATCTCAAAAGAGGTCGAAATGTTGCCACCCACAACGTGATAACAGTAAATAAGTATATAAGTAAGGAAATAAAGAAATAAAGCTCTTACAGAGAGAAAGTTAATGGACGAAAAAGCGTAGCCTCGGAACGCGGGCAGACGACTGTTCTTGTTTTAGTTGGGGGGACGCGTGTGCCGGTGAAAAACAGGGCCGAGGTTTTCCGCGGAATTGAAAGTGGGGCCCCGGGAAGCACGCAAAAACTACGAGGGGGTGGAACTTGAACGTAGCCCGGCCGATCACGTAAGAAACACGCAGAGACATTAAATGTCGCAAACACCCAAATGAGGAAAGAAAACAAAAATTTCATATAAACAAGCCCAGGGCCACGCTTGTCCCGACGACGGAGTTTCAGCGGTTGTTGTCCGCGGATGCTTGTTACGAAGAATATAACATTTACGGCCGAATACGACATGAAGAAAGTCGCCCACTTCGCCGTACTCCCGTGGCAAAGACCGCTTTTTGCCAACGGGCAGTGGCCTTTCCCGCGGCAAAATCCCGTGGCAAAGGCCTTTGCCACGGGATTTTGTGTTCAAAGATAGAAGGTTTTGTTTTGTATTGTTCATCTGAGGGTGCTATCAGTAGAATAAATTAGTTATTCTAGTGATAACTAGAATGCGATGTGTTAGTGTGGATTAACTGCGTGTACAGAATGTTGAGACTGGATGGCGCGAAGCAATCTGGTGCCACTTTCTGCGGTTGCCGTGCAAATGTCGGTCCACACAGGGGTTCTTACTCACGATTTCTTACGTTACGTGAGGAGTCACTGGGACATTCGTACTTCGTATGTCGCGTGCAAAGCTGCCCCTTGAACCGGTCGCCACGCTTCATTAGAAGCACGCATGTCCGGTGACTCGTATCGTAAACGGTCGTAAGCGGTCATAAGCTGTCGCAAGTGTTCGTAAGGTAAAGTAACATAGGAAAGCGCTCCTGTGTGAACCGACCTTGAATGAGACTTTCTGAAAGCCTGTTAGAGCGCAGGACGAAGTAGACGGAGCGTGCGGAAAACAGAGCAACCGATTTCACCAGTCAGCTCGACTGCGCCACCGCTGCCGCGGAGTACCGAGGAAACTTTTGTATACTTTTTTTTTTTTTTTTTTTGCCTGTGACAATTTCGCTGGAGCTTTGCG